TTTACATTCTCTCTTGTGGTTTCAAAGTCAAAAAACAAGCATGGCTTTGCTGTTGCAGAAAAAGACACTACGTAACATTGGGGACACTCGATAACACAATGTGTTGAGTTGTTACCTCGTTAGTATAGTGGACAGTTTCGCTGCCTGTCGCGCGGAGGACCGTGGTTCGATTTTATTCCCTGAAGTAGAGTTCTGTTTATTGCAAATGACTAATAAGCTTTTGATTACTGGCTAAGGACAATGCAAGTTTAAGCCAGTCAACAGACAGACAGTTGCACAGAATATGCAACAGCCCCATTCACACTTGGGGTTTTAAAGTCGAAAAACAAAGCTGGCATTGTCGTTGCAGGGCATGACACTATGTAAGATTGGGGCGCACTAGATTAAACAATTTTCCAAGTTGCTTCCTCGTTAGTATAGTGGACAGTATCTCCGCCTGTCACGCGGAAGACCAGGGTTCGATTCCCTGACGGGGAGTTACAATCTTTTGCAAAACGAAAATGACTTGATGCTGTTGGCTAAGGACAGCCAAAAGACAGACGGTTTACCCGAATCGTCAACAACACCCCTTTAAATTCAATCTAGGGTTTTCCAGGTGAAAACATAAATACGATGTTGCTGTTGCAAAAAGTGAGACTAGAAATTTCGAGTCGTGCTCTGTGTCACGCTCTCGTAAGTTTGTTTGTTCTTCAGTGTAGTGGAGAGTGTCTCTGCTAATCAAGCAAATACAGGGGTTTGATTCCCCGATGGGGCAATATTGCCATTTACACTAGGCAAATGTTTCCTTGGCTCTTTATTACTTTCACATTGCCGCATACTTCAACAAAACGAGGAATATCGGAAAGGACTTGTCTTTTTTACACTTTTGTATTGCTTTGCCATCAGCAAAGCAGCCCAAAAATTCCAAGTCAAAGGGCTTTTACATTACATTACTTTTTACATTTTACATTCTCTCTTGTGGTTTCAAAGTCCAAAAACAAGCATGGCTTTGCTGTTGCAGAAAAAGACACTACGTAACATTGGGGACACTCGATAACACAATGTGTTGAGTTGTTACCTCGTTAGTATAGTGGACAGTTTCGCTGCCTGTCGCGCGGAGGACCGTGGTTCGATTTTTATTCCCTGAAGTAGAGTTCTGTTTATTGCAAATGACTAATCAGCTTTTGATTACTGGCTAAGGACAATGCAAGTTTAAGCCAGTCAACAGACAGACAGTTGCACAGAATCTGCAACAGCCCCATTCACTCTTGGGGTTTTAAGTCGAAAAACAAAGCTGGCATTGTCGTTGCAGGGCATGACACTATGTAAGATTGGGGCGCACTCGATTAAACAATTTTCCAAGTTCCTTCCTCGTTAGTATAGTGGACAGTATCTCCGCCTGTCACGCGGAAGACCGGGGTTCGATCGGGGTAACTCCCGGGGTAACTCCCGACGGGGAGTTAAAATCTTTTGCAAAACGAAAATGACTTGATGCTGTTGGCTAAGGACAGCCAAAAGACAGACGGTTTACCCGAATCGTCAACAACACCCCTTTTAAATTCAATCTAGGGTTTTCCAGGTGAAAACATAAATACGATGTTGCTATTGCAAAAAGTGAGACTAAAAATTTCGAGTCGTCCTCTGTGTCACGCTCTCGTAAGTTTGTTTGTTCTTTAGTGTAGTGGAGAGTGTCTCTGCTAATCAAGCAAATACAGGGGTTTGATTCCCCGATGGGGCAATATTGCCATTTACACTAGGCAAATGTTTCCTTGGCTCTTTATTACTTTCACATTGCCTAAAACTTCAACAAAACCAGTAATATCGGAAAGGACTTGTCTTTTTTACACTTTTGTATTGCTTTGCCAGCAGCAAAGCAGCCCAAAAATTCCAAGTCAAAGGGCTTTTACATTACATTACTTTTTACATTTTACATTCTCTCTTGTGGTTTCAAAGTCCAAAAACAAGCATGGCTTTGCTGTTGCAGAAAAAGACACTACGTAACATTGGGGGCACGCGATAACACAATGTGTTGAGTTGTTACCTCGTTAGTATAGTGGACAGTTTCGCTGCCTGTCGCGCGGAGGACCGTGGTTCGATTTTATTCCCCGAAGTAGAGTTCTGTTTATTGCAAATGACTAATCAGCTTTTGATTACTGGCTAAGGACAATGCAAGTTTAAGCCAGTCAACAGACAGACAGTTGCACAGAATCTGCAACAGCCCCATTCACTCTTGGGGTTTTTTTAGTCGAAAAACAAAGCTGGCATTGTCGTTGCAGGGCATGACACTATGTAAGATTGGGGCGCACTCGATGAATTAATTTTCCAAGTTGCTTCCTCGTTAGTATAGTGGACAGTATCTCCGCCTGTCACGCGGAAGACCGGGGTTCGATTCCCCGACGGGGAGTTACAATCTTTTGCAAAACGAAAATGACTTGATGCTGTTGGCTAAGGACAGCCAAAAGACAGACGGTTTACCCGAATCCTCAACAACACCCCTTTTAAATTCAATCTATGGTTTTCCAGGTGAAAACATAAATACAATGTTGCTGTTGCAAAAAGTGAGACTAGAAATTTCGAGTCGTGCTCTGTGTCACGCTCTCGTAAGTTTGTTTGTTCTTTAGTGTAGTGGAGAGTGTCTCTGCTAATCAAGCAAATACAGGGGTTTGATTCCCAGATGGGGCAATATTGCCATTTACACTAGGCAAATGTTTCCTTGGCTCTTTATTACTTTCACATTGCTGCATACTTCAACAAAACGAGTAATATCGGAAAGGACTTGTCTTTTTTACACTTTTGTATTGCTTTGCCAGCAGCAAAGCAGCCCAAAAATTCCAAGTCAAAGTGCTTTTACATTACATTACTTTTTACATTTTACATTCTCTCTTGTGGTTTCAAAGTCCAAAAACAAGCATGGCTTTGCTGTTGCAGAAAAAGACACTACGTAACATTGGGGACACTCGATAACACAATGTGTTGAGTTGTTACCACGTTAGTATAGTGGACAGTTTCGCTGCCTGTCGCGCGGAGGACCGTGGTTCGATTTTATTCCCCAAGGTAGAGTTCTGTTTATTGCAAATGACTAATCAGCTGTTGATTACTGGCTAAGGACAATGCAAGTTTAAGCCAGTCAACAGACAGACAGTTGCACAGAATCTGCAACAGCCCCATTCACTCTTGGGGTTTTGAAGTCGAAAAACAAAGCTGGCATTGTCGTTGCAGGGCATGACACTATGTAAGATTGGGGCGCACTCGATGAAACAATTTTTCCAAGTTGCTTCCTCGTTAGTATAGTGGACAGTATCTCCGCCTGTCACGCGGAAGACCGGGGTTCGATTCCCCGACGGGGAGTTACAATCTTTTGCAAAACGAAAATGACTTGATGCTGTTGGCTAAGGACAGCTAAAAGACAGACGGTTTACCCGAATCCTCAACAACACCCCTTTTAAATTCAATCTAGGGTTTTCCAGGTAAAAACATAAATACAATGTTGCTGTTGCAAAAAGTGAGACTAGAAATTTCGAGTCGTGCTCTGTGTCACGCTCTCGTAAGTTTGTTTGTTCTGCAGTGTAGTGGAGAGTGTCTCTGCTAATCAAGCAAATACAGGGGTTTGATTCCCCGATGGGGCAATATTGCCATTTACACTAGGCAAATGTTTCCTTCGCTTTTTTTTACTTTCACATAGCCGCATACTTCAACAAAACGAGTAATATCGGAAAGGACTTGTCTTTTTTACACTTTTGTATTGCTTTGCCATCAGCAAAGCAGCCCAAAAATTCCAAGTCAAAGGGCTTTTACATTACATTACTTTTTACATTTTACATTCTCTCTTGTGGTTTCAAAGTCCAAAAACAAGCATGGCTTTGCTGTTGCAGAAAAAGACACTACGTAACATTGGGGGCACTCGATAACACAATGTGTTGAGTTGTTACCTCGTTAGTATAGTGGACAGTTTCGCTGCCTGTCGCGCGGAGGACCGTGGTTCGATTTTATTCCCCGAAGTAGAGTTCTGTTTATTGCAAATGACTAATCAGCTGTTGATTACTGGCTAAGGACAATGCAAGTTTAAGCCAGTCAACAGACAGACAGTTGCACAGAATCTGCAACAGCCCCATTCACTCTTGGGGTTTTGAAGTCGAAAAACAAAGCTGGCATTGTCGTTGCAGGGCATGACACTATGTAAAATTGGGGTGCACTCGATTAAACAATTTTCCAAGTTGCTTCCTCGTTAGTATAGTGGACAGTATTTCCGCCTGTCACGCGGAAGACCGGGGTT